AATTGCCTTTAAATAGCAAAATATATGCATGGTTATTACGTTTTCACCCAAAGAAAGGTAATTACTAGGGGTTATATTATAAATATTACTAAAAAATTAGGTATGGACAAAAATGTGACCTTTTTCTTTAATTTCCAAATATGTGACTAAGGGTCATTAAACTTACTAAATTACCCCTTATCACTAGAGATTTTATTTGACAATGACATGATCTGTCACAGTGACACCTGTTGGCCAATGCCGCCACAGTGACCTCTGCCATAGTGACCTTCGCCATAGTGACACCCTCTGGCCACTGCCGCTACAGTGACCTCTACTAGCCACCGTCGACACAGTGACTTCAGCCATAGTGAGCACCGCCACAATGATAGTCATCGCCACCACAGTGACCTCCGTCGGCCAATGTTGTCACAGTGACACCCGCCACCCACCGCCGCCACAATGACACCCACCAGCAAATACTGTCATAGTGACACCCACCGGCCAACGTCGGTACAGTGACCTCCGTTGTAATGACCACCGCCACAGTGACAACACCCGTCCACCGCCGCCACAGTGACCTCTGCCACCGAGACCTTTGCCGGCCACCGCCGTCACAATGACCACAGTGACAGTTATCTCGGTACACCCATTGTTACCTCACCCTAAATAGTTAACTCAGTGACCTGTTCTCCCCAGCGACCTATACATTTGGCTCCACAATCTGCGTCTCCGGTAACCACCACTTCCCCATACGTGCCCTTGTCTAGGCCTATCCCTGCCTACTGCCCCGACCCCTGCTCTTGACCACCAGATCTGCAGTTCCTGTCACTCCCCCCACCCGATCCCCTGGCAGTTCCCTTCGACTACAATCCTTCCCTGATGTCCCCCCTGCCCCCATCATTGCAACCAGCCATACATTGCACAGTAGCCCATCCAAAACCCAACGTGCTTGGTTAAGACCCCAAACCCTAGCTTCGATCAAAACTTGAGTCACTACCATCTGAAACGACAATCGTTCGCCACCAAAATCTAATTGAAAATTTGAATCGCGACATTATTTACTCGTCATTTCCGCCGCTCTCTTTCCATAAGCTATCAGTTTGAGTACAGGAGAAATGGAGTAGGAAGAAAGAAAACAGGTTGCAACGACAATGATGTCGTACATGTGGCTATGGATGAGGTTTACTTCCAGAAGGATTCGGCGGGCTACATTCGACGTGTGGAGGCGGTGGGATTCGGTGAGCCACGTTTAACGGATGGGGGCAGCGGGATTCTGCGGGCTGCTGTGGGTTCCTGTGCGGGAAGAACATAGGAGGCTGAGAAATGACTGGACGTAGGGGCTGCCTTGGGGAATTAGGTTTAATTTTATTTGGGGGTATTTTGGTCTTTCAAGATTTAAGAGGTCATTTATTTGTCCAAAAGTAGCGTTAGTCATATATTTGTCAATTGCAAAGCCATAAGTATTATTGAAGTCATTATTTCTAATTACTACCGGAGTATTTGAAAATTATTGTCAAACAAAATATGACGGTATTCTATTGGAACAATTCGGCAATTTATACCGTGGGATCGGCACACCATGTGCATGGTGTACCGATCCCAATATGATTCCGTTTCAGTAATTAGAAACAACGTTTTATCTCCTTCGATCGTTTCTTCTCCAGCACCGTTCCTTCCCCCGGTTTTTTATATTCTTCCCATGCTTCCACTAACTTTTCTCCCCTACTTCCCTTTCCTTTTCTCTTGCCCTGCTTTTTGAACTGATTCCCTTTCTTCTTTTCTCCCTTTCTTTTTCTTTTCCAATTATCTTCATCTCCATTATTAAAATATTAAAAATAAGATTACAATTACTTTTATCTATAAAACAATTTCTTATCTCTTTTATTGGTTTTAGTTATTTTATATATATAATATATATTTCTTATCTCTTTTATATGTTTTTATGACATAAAGTTTGTTTATTTTGACTTACATTTGATAAATGTGTGTGGTTTACATTTCTACATGTCTAAGTTATGTTTATAGACAATTTCTCGAATTACATTTGATAGTATATGAAGTTACATCTTCTTGTGTGTGAGTTATGTCTTTTAATGCGTGAGTTACATCTTTTTATGCGTGAGTTACATTTTTTTATGCGTGAGTTACATCTTCTTATACGCGAGTTACATTTAGACTTGCCTTAACAAGTTACATTTTGCATACACCTAAATTAGATTTTCCATCAACGTGAGTTACATTTTCTATAACATTAATTACATAACATCATAAAGCTCTGCTCTTCAAACAAAACAATCATTTTTATGCAAAAAAAATATTGCAAAAGAAGTGATTTCTTAGGCAAAAAAACTGATTTTTTAAAAAATATTTTTATGTCCTTGATATAAAAAAACAGAACATATTCACTATTTAAGTAATTCCCTGATATTGAAACAAAAAAATCATTTTTTTTCAAAAAATTGATTTTTTTGGGTGAAAAATAATGATTTTTTGGAAAAATAAATGATTTTAAATAAAAATCATTATTTATGGTCTTAATATTAAAAAAAAAACATATTCACTATTTACGTAAAGTCATTGAACAATTGGACTCCTTATTTTCTTTGAAATCAATGTTTTATTTCTTATAATACGTATTAGACAAGTTACATTTCGACTTGCCTGCAGTTACATTTTTTATCAGCGTGAGTTACATATCTTTACACGCGAGTTACATCATTCATGCTACCAGGACAAAATAATAAAAAAAGTTATTGTACATGCGTGTACTGTTCACGTGTGTACTGTTCATGCAATTTTTTTTAAATTGTGCAAAACTACGTCGTTTTGAGGGTGGAGCATGATGCTCATCGTGGGATGATCCCACGGTATACGAACTGGAACAATTCACATTGATTTGGTGAAAATGCATACATAGATTATGTACTACTTAAAATTTCAAATTGTTTCTACTTGTGAAAAAGATTGACCGTTTGGTTCACAAGCAAACGGTCTCACCTTTAAAATTATTATATTTATACAACAACATTCATGTCTTATTACCAAAAAAATTGGGGTCGACTAACATGAATCAATTCATGAGATTTATAGATAAAAGATAAAAGAGATATAAACAACATAAAAGCATAAGATATATAGATAAAAGATAAAAGAGATAAAGGAAGAGAAGATATCAATCGTCCACACATATATGCATTGTTTACTTTGCTCTCTTCAAAATCATATTCTCATTCAACCCGAAGAAACATATCAATTCTGATTCCTCTAATCTAAGTCTATTTGGGTCTTTCCATCCCCTTCTTACTTGTCTCTTCTTTCCACCTCTCAACTCATCTAAAATGGTGCATTACCTGGTATTTATAATGCAAGATATATTTCATCACTCACTCAAAAAATTAAAGGCCGCCATCAAATAATTTTTTGGAGCATCTGTCACACGGGGTAATTCTATTCACAACTCTCGAATTACTATTCACAGACCTAACTTATATATTAATTAAAAAAATAATTCAAATTCCTAAGTTACCCCCATAGGCTAAACATGTAACCTTTATTGAAATAGCCAAAAACTCAAGAGCTATGAGGTCCAACCATTAAACAATCAAGAAAATAACCTTCGTTCATCCTTTTATGCGTCTGTAAGTCTGTAACTTCACGTAAAACAAGCATTACACTATCAAGAATGTGATTGGAGTTTTCCCGGGAAGAGATCAATAGATCAATAGGTATGCTTAATCTTATCTTCTGTATTTTATTCTTCGGTTTTTGTATTGTCGTATTGCAGGGGCGAACTCTTAGCCTTGCAAAGAGTATGGCCACAGAATCTTGAGGAAAACTTGTCCTGATTACAAATGGTGTGGAGCATCAGATTGAAGAGTCGAGTAATTACTTATGGATTGTTTGGTCTTTGAGGAGATCAAGTGAATAAAGGTTATAGTTATTTTGGACAAGAAATATGTGTTGGTGTAACCACATGCTGAAATGAACTTGTACTCTTGTATACCAGAAGGATCCTCAACATTCCCCTATATGGCAATAGGATATGAAATCTATTGTATATTAAGGAGCAAGTTATGAAATAACTATTGTATATTACCACCGTTCACATACATTTCTTACACAACGTTGTTTAAGGATTTTTACATATAAGGCCATATATAATGCATTACATTGCACATATTTTACATCATATCATAAACACAGCTGTAGAGTAAACTAAAAAAATCCCAAACTTTCTATTTTTCACTAATATAGCATATATACTTAAAAATAATATCCAAAATGTCCTTCAACTACAGTCTACCAATGAATGATAGATATACTCCCAAAAAGAAGATATAGAAGAAGAAAAAACTGTAGTCGATTTGAATTTTTAGACCTGATTCAGTCGAAGAAGATACAGAGAGGTATGAAGACTTCTTACTTTCTTAGTTACACGTAGTAATAACTTATAGGTTTCAAAAAAGTGTATTATATGTGCAACTTTTGTAAATATATATGCTGGGGTGGTGAAATAATTGAATGTCGGGGATATCTTTGGTAATTTACCTCATATTGGAATTTGTAATGCATGTTTTTGAGATGTCGATAAAGATGAACTTATTCAAGAGTTTTAGACTCCCAGGACATCTCATAAATAATTAAAATGTAAAAAAGTTATTGATAAAAAATACTCTATATATGTGTTTTCCAACTAATGAAGGCATATGTATTGGCCTGCCCATATATCTAGCTGGCAGTTCATTATTAGTAGCTACTAATAGGAAAAAGCTCAAGTAAGCTTACCTGCATCCTGGCAACTTGGCAAGTGCTGACTGCTGAAAACTCTCAATTCAGTAATCCAGAAGTTATCCTCCTAACTGCTCATCTCGCATCTCCTAAATAGCCTTTATTTCATATTTCATGACCCCATTTCTATCCTTATTGAACTTTTCAAGAACCCCATTTTTAATCCATCATTTTTATACAAGGTATATAGCATATATGATAGAAACTCCATATTTGATATGGATCATGAATGAAATGCAAAAGTAGATATTTTAGTATACACATGAATGCTCTCTTTTATTTACAGAAAAAACTTTGAATGTAGATCAATATATATAGTCAATGAAGATACAGCAACGTGAAATAAAAAATTGCAAAGCTAAACATCTTCAAAAATAACATGATTTTTCCTCCAGCTTTAATCGCACAGTTACAACATTCAGAAATTAAACGGGATCTCCAAACTAGTAAAAGTTACGTTTCCGAATCAAATCCCAAGTTCCAGAACCCTTCTGGAGTTGAAGGAGGGACGTACTGAAATCGATGCCTAGATACCCCATCATGATGCTCACAGCGTAAGTTGTGTGTATTTGCACTGAAATTCTTATCTTCAGATGGAAGCACAGCATCGTAGAACTTTTTGCACTGCTTACATTCAATTCCTTTCAAATTTTCCCTTTCCGATTTTTTCCTTACAGGTTCTATGTATTTTACCACTGAAGTATCAGGCCTTAAATACGGAACTTGTTGCTTCTGATCAATATTCATGTCCTGTGTTTCATCGTCTGAGTTTTCAGAATCTCTGACTGCAGGAACTTCCCTTGGAAGATTTGAGATACCATCCTTCGTGGCGTTTCCTTGATTTCTTCTAACATTCTCCAAGGGTGTATCGAGAAAATCATCATGAGGATCTGGTCCAACTCGGCTTTGATGGGACCTAGTATCTCTCCAATAAGATCCACGACGTTTTGTGCCAGCTGGTAGGCAAGACTTCATGTGCGGGCGCTCTTTAGAGGCAATAGAAATGTTTGCATCATCAAGGGGTGATATAGAACTTGATCTTTGAGCTGATTTAACAACTCCAGTATTTCCTGGGTTTTCAAGGATATTAATTCGCTTTGCCTCTTCACAGGAAATGCTCATAGCTTTTGGTACATCAGTCTCCACATCTATTAGCATCACACATAATTGATATTGATGTTAGTCAAGAATATAACAATAAGGAAAGAAAAAGTTGATTCATTTTTCTACTGATCTAATCAACATATATTTACTTCATTTGGGTGGTCTTGGAGATGCTCTGTGCATAATCTAATGTACTAGAACTGCAATGAAGCACAAGGACTCCGAGAATTACCATTTTTAATCAGAGGACTTTGGTTATGCCTCAATTCACTTTCGTCATCAGGTTTTATTTTGGTTCTCACATTTTCTGGTGTAAGACCTACTTTTGCACATAGGAAATTGTACTGAGATTTCAAACTCTTATAAGCAGTACTTATATCCTTCATTTTTCTCTTTGCTGACAACAGCTCCGAGTCTTTTGCTTTAATTTTCTGAAGTAGCTCCCCTTGTAACTCCAATCCATCAGAAGATTCATCACTTCTCACTTGAAGATTTGCTTGGAGCTCTTCAGTTCTTCCTTTAACGCCTTTCAGTTTGGCAAGTAGATGCTTCTTCACCTTCTCAAGCTCTTCTAACTTCTTCCCTGTCTTTGATCTTTCTTGACAGTATAAATCAACCTGTTTTAGCAACTGTTCTTGTAATTTCCTTCCCTCCTCCACTTCAATATTTTTCTTCATGACTTCTACCTGAAGCTCATGAGCATGAATTTCCACATTCTTTACTTTTTCCATAAGAAGTTCTTTCTCACCCTGAAATTTACACAACATTTGTTCATTCTCCAGGTCCTTGGATTGAACCTTTTTTAGTAAATTTTCTTGTACCTCTGATGCTTTTTCTATCACAGTGTTCTTTTCTGTCAATTCATGTTGAAGCTTCCCAATCTTTCCTTGTGCTTCTTCAAGTTCAGCAAGAAGCATTTGTATTTTCTCTTCATATTTCTTCAGTTGCCTTTCTTTGTATGCCACAGATGAAGTTTTCTCTTGAGCCATCTGGACTAGCTTGTGTTGCAATTCCAAATCTCCATCAATTTCTCTTGATTTTTTCTTGAGTTCATTCTGTAATCCCTGGACTTCAAGCTCCAGATGTTGTTGTGTCTTTGATAGAAGGACATTTTTTTGGACAAGATCTCTTTGCATTCCCTCATATTTGCGGATCAGGGCATCTTTTGATTCACAGTGCTTACCTAACTCTTCATTTTCTGCTCTTAACTTGTTTAGCTCATCACTTCTGTGATCTATCTTTTCTTGAAGCTCTTCGAAATGCTTTTTCCAAATAAAATCACCATCTGATAGTTTTGCGTTCTCCGACTTCAGAAACAGATTTTCTTCAAGAATATGTTGCTTCATGACCTGGATCTTTTCTAATTGGAGTAAAAGGTCATTTTCCTTTTGTTTCCACGCAGTTTCAGCATCGTCCTTAGCTTCCATATAAATTTCCTGCAGTCTTTTAGAGACTGACTGGAAATTTGGGAAAAGTTGACTGCAGAATATATATTCTATCTGAGATAATCGGTCTTTTGCTTCCTGGATTGTGGCAACAAGAATAGTACTAATTTTTGCAATGTACTTCGCATTAACAGTTTCCACAGGACAGGCCATCTGCGGAGACACTTGCTCATTTTCTTCCATATCTGAAATGAATGACAAAACTGATAATGAGAGTCCCTAAATATTGTGAGTTTTACACCCCAGTATTCCACCTGTCTTGGCAAAAACATTTGGGAAAAAAAATCTATTACAGAGTATATTATAAATAGTACATATTCCAACCCAAATAAGAACTGAATAAGTTTCCCATTCCAAGTTTCTGGAAACTGGAACTGAATATTGCCCAGTTCCAAACTGACAGTTGCAGTTCGGTTTTCTTGTTTGCTTTTACTTCTTGATCTTTTTAAAATTAAAAAAAGAAGTAGTTTTTCATTATTTTTAAAATTGAATAATTCATAACAAGTTAGATTACTTAAATTAAAGGGTTCCAAATATAAGGAAAATTATACTTCGGTTATTTTTATTTACTGCTATCCAGTAATAGTATTCTTACAAATTACAGCTTAAAAATGAGAAATTTAAATTCAATTAAAATGGTTATTTAAATAATTAAATATGAATAATGCTAATATTAAAAATTAAAAATAAAGGAGCAGATTGCACATATTTATCTATGTTTGCTACTTATTAGAGTATATCCTTTTTTCTTGTCCTGCATAGTCTGTCACATTCAATGGTGTAGTATAAACCCAAGTTTGGTTATAATAAAGACTTTTTCGTCAAAATATGCTTCATGTGAAAGTTTAAATAAGGTGTAAACTAAGTGTACTACTGGAGATGTGCTTATTAAGCTTTTACAGCTCTGAAGCTTCCTTACCCGATCAAGATCAGATGATGCAAGGATCGGTTTTGATCAACTTTCTGGCAATTGGCTTTTCCTGAAAATAGGAGTAAAAAAATATTGGAAAAAGAGCTCGCGAAATGCAATATGTACCATTAATTAACCACCACCGGTCCACCACCACTACTACTTTAATTTTATTAGTATTATTAGTATAGTATTACTACTGCTGCTACTATTATTCTTATTATTTAATATTTAATATTTAAATAAATCCAACCATTCATTTCTAAACCGGAACTGGCGGTGCGTGTTCCTAACTACTATAAATCCCAACCTCTCCTGAAAACTGAAGGTTATGAACCCTGCCTTGTGACACGGTTGCAGTTCCAATTTGAATACCAGCAGTTCCGGTTTAACCACAACAGTAGACAGGCATTAAGCAAATTCATGTTAACTAGCAACTCTAAAGAGTAATGACCCAAGCACCTGTATGGGAAAAACGATTTCTTTTGCATATTTAAGCCCTTCCAAATAAAGAACGTTATGGGTAAAAGTTCAATGAGGAAAAAAAGTTATTATCATCCATTTAACCAACGCCCAATAAATTTGAGTATCCATAGCTGGTACATTGTAGGATAAAATGCATTATAAAGGTCTAGTTCTATCTAGTATAAACAAGTTACAAGTCAGAAATCTTTTTCTAGTACACAAGAAAATGATATGGAACCTCAACAATTAATCAGGCAAACACGTGAATTTTGCGTCTGATACTTACATGGCTGAATAAAATTGTTAGAGTTAACCATACACTATGCTTTTTACAATTTTCTACAGATGCTGATTTTTTTTTTCGACTACTCAAACAGTTGTCCAGTTTCAGATCTAGCACGGGTACTATGGGTGTTCGAAGTTAATTGAAATTAGGAATAATAGTTTTCTGTAAGTAGGATTTTAGACAACGAATCCTTGTTGTCAACACGAACAAATAAAACAAATAGCGATAGAAATAAGCAAACAACAATGAAATAAAATTAGGTTACCAATAAAGAAAAGAGAAATGAAAAGGGGTAATTGATCGTAATCTCGTATATAGTGGATAAGGCTGAGAAATTTAGCAGGAGTGACGACCTACCTCAATTCGCCCGCTAGGGGTGAGGAATCTAAGCTGCTCAAGAGGAGGCGCGCCTTAGAGGAAAGGCTAACAGAGGAGAGATGACTCCGTCGGCTATAGGACGGCGGCGGCGGCGGCGGCGGCGGAAGCGGAAGGCAAGGTCGCGCAGAACGGGGCTGCACGGGAGGAGCGTACGACTTGGGCAGTTGGGCTTGGCCTGAAGCGAAGTGGCGACTCGCAAGTGACTGAAAAGTCTGAAACGCGGCGGGAGGGACTAATTTGGACTTTTAGAGGGACTCCGCGCGCCTTCTGGGCGCGCCTATCTTTGCTCAAATAGAACGTACATACTACTCTTTCTTCAAGTTTAACTGACACGGAAATTAATAAAGTAAAAATCGTGTGGTTGAGATTTATGTAGAGATTAGAAAATTAGCTAGAATCACAAATTCATTACTTAAAAAGAAACACCCAAAAAAGAAATGTTGACAAAGTTTAAGAGACACAGAAATACCTTTCTTCGGCTTTCAATCTAATCATACGTTCGAATATACTTACATTTACGTGGTACTGGTACTCTTGCTATTACATTTATCAATGACATATTTGTAAGTATTTTATTTAGTTAATAGCTATGGTTTGATACTTCAAATTCGGTTGAAGTACTAGATTCTCACCCGTGTGGTGCACGAGATAAAATTTAATAGAGAAATATAATAATATTTATTTACTTTAACGATAACAACAAAGAATCATAAAATTATAATTTATAAATGAGAGAAAAGAAAACAAGGGTGTATAATAAAAAGTGCTATAATAAATACTACTACCTCCGTCCCGGAATTATCTCCTTATTTGACTGGGCACGGGTTTTAAGATAGTGTGAAATGTGTGGTGAAGAGTTGTTCAGAGGAAAGAGAAATGTGTAAGAATGGTTGTGAACCACAAATTCTTTGCCAAAAAGGGAAAAAGGAGATAAATTTGGGACGGACCAAAAAAAGAAAGAATGAAGATAATTCCGGGATGGAGGGAGTATATGATTAGAAAGAGCAAGTATGATTCAATCAATATAAGTTGGAATAAGAAATTTGTTTGCATTTCCCATATATAACAATATGAGCATGACTTGGCCACATTTTTGAAATTTCATTGTGTATTTTTTTAGTATAACCATAAAAAATGAATAATTAATGCTATAAGTATTTCAATACATAAAACATGTAAAATTTATAGACTATAAACTACTATCTTTGTCCCATTTTATGTGTGTTGTTTGGTTCGACACAATTATTAATAACGTGACCGAAAAAGTAAAAATTGTGATTAAGATTTGACTATAATAAAGTGAAATGTTATAGACCCACATATTTGTTTTCACAAAAGAAAATATGTCATTTACTTTGGTACAACCCAAAAAGAACAGTAAGACATATAAAATGGGATGGAGGAGTACTATAAAATATTTTAAAATATAAATAAAATATAAATTACAAAAAGAAAATCTAAAATATAATAAAATTTAAAATATACTCCCTTCATCCCTGATAACTTTTCCATCTTTCCTTCTTGGATGTCCCAAAAATTTTGTCATTTTCCCTTTTAATCAATGAATTTGTAGTTTCTGTCATTTCTCTCTCCTCTACACATATCTCAATCACATAGTTTTTACTTTATTATTTCTCATGCTGGTCAAACATTGCATATTTACACTTTATTTTGATTTTTAGTTTGTTTTATACACTTTATATATAGCAGGATTCCTTCCCATGTATACTACTGCGTACTATACGTACTATATATACTCTATGATTTTGTGGGCAATAAATGTTAAATGTGTAATTTAATTCCTTCTCATACGTGTATACTACTACTAGTAAATTGATCGCGCGTTGCGCGAATGTGATATGCCCAACAATAATTTAGACAATATGAAGGCAGATTGAAAAAGAAATTTTAAAAAATTATAATATAATTATAGTGATTTGCATGCTATACTCATTCAATATATAATATGATGGAGTGTTGTGTCCATTAGTCAAAGTTATATAATTACCACATATGGTGATAACCGATCTTTCAATATATAATTTAGACAAAATAGTAATGTTCACTAAGTCCAAAATAAATAATCAAAATAAGTTGAGTATGTGTGTGATATGAAGGGACATAACAATAACAGAAACACGAGTGATTGATTTGTATAGAGCATGCAGTTTTCAATAATTATATAATTACATTGAATATGAGAAAAATGGGGTGATAAGTTTTATTTTTTGAATTTTGGAAAGTTTTATGTGTTATGAAATTGCTTTGAAAAATTTTTGTAAATGAAAAAAGTTGAACTTATAATACAAAGGAAATTTGGTACTATCATAATATAAACCAACATGTGAAAATTTCCATAATAACGATGATGTATTGTAAATTTGCATACTGAAAATCATGCAATTATTAATGTGCATAGAGAAGCAGTTGTTTTATTTATTTAAATGATGAATATATAAAATGCGTGGTAACTGATCCCATGATCGTAATATCATTCAGTCCTGATGGCCTTGCCCTTCTCATCTTTCTTCATTGGGGTTGGCGGTACATGTATGGTTGTCTGGGCATCCACGATGGTGTTAAATTTTCTTTTCAATGCTGGAGTGTTTGTAGCCGGTGCAATTGCGTGAGGCGTCTTTGAGGTCTCATTCGTGGTGTTGATATCTATTTCTTCCATGCATATAACTGTGTATGTTGTTGTGGTGCTGCCTTGGAACTCATGTGGCCTATATGCCAGCTTCAATCTATATTGGATAGTGTGTAGCACCTCATTTTTGGCAGCTACATTGATATGTTCCTCCTGTCATAATAGTTGGGTAAGATTTTCATATAATATGAGTTATGTATTATAGTTAATAAACATACTCGAGCTTCATTTTCCATGATTTCAGATACAGTCATGATAAGTAATTCTTCAGCCATTGCCCCAAACAACACATAAGATGGAGCACTCTCATCCATCAATATTAAGGAGTTACCGAGCTCAATCTAAGTCAAGTGCATCGCAAATTAAATAACCAACCATTGACCTCTTAATGATACTACTAAAGGGCGTAAACAAGTATGATATTAACATGCAAAGGATTATGCAGAATAGAGTGAATCAATGACCATAAACAACATTCACGCACCTCAGAAGAGTAGTCACTTTACTTGCACCGGAGAATAAAATACGTTGATCTCTTAAAACTATGCAAAAGCTCTGCAAAGTGTACATTAGTGTCTCGTGGCAATAAGGCCTTATGTGATAACAAAACAGTCTTTAGGAGATTTGGCACGAAGAATATGTCAAGTGGAAAAGGTAACAAGATGTTCATATTTGTCTTAGTTGAACGTAAACATGATTAATCTTTGCAAACATGCTGTACTCAGTGAACTATACTAAAAGCTAAAGTCCCTATATATTTTCTATGTTTTAAAGAGAATTATACTAAAAGGTGAAGCATTTGCTTTCTATGTTTTAATGCGTCTTGGCAGGTTGGCGGCAGTGGCATACAACTACACCAATGTGATGTCTAGTAAGTTTTCTATTACGAAAAACCACCAATTACTAACTACCACATGTTGTCGAAAAGTAAAATCCCAAACAAGAGGCCAATTGATCGAATTAAGTAGTTTTTCGACAGTAATAATGAAAAAATAGATTCAATGTAGTCCACATAGGATGAAGTCATGGAGAAAACAGGAAATTTTGAAGTTTATATACACAAAATGAGTGAAATGGTAAATATGTGGTGGGGCGAACGCGTACTGTGCTTTTTGTTTCATTCTAGATGAAGTTTTGGAGAACATTTAGTAACTAAACAAGGTCTTAATTAATAAAATATATGAAGTAAAAATGCAGGAAAAAGTGCACGGAAAACGCATCACATACATTCAAACATGTAATATCGTCCGAGCTAAAGATAAAGTATTACCTTCATAAATGAGGTTCTTATTTTCTTTCATGATGCCTGAGTGTGATTGATTGTGAATACTCAAACTACTTTTGAGCATGACATGTTCAATAATCATTGGAATGTCTTTTATCCTCTTTAAAACATGACATTAATATAGGCAGAAGTTTTTCTAAAAAGTTTATTTTTATCTATTCTTATTAATACCTTATGCTATACAAACAACTAAACTGGATATGTACTTTAAACCAATGAAGTGGACAATTTAGATGTTTTACAATGACAGAGTTTTGAGTTGAGGATTGGAAAAAGAAACGTCGAGATTGTATAATGCTTGCTCCTGCCAACGTTGAAATCTAGGACAACCAAATCTAACTTAACTATCTAAGTAAGAGGCAGACGACCACATAAATTATGGGGCATCAAAGACATGATATCAAATCCAGGCGGCGCTGGGATGACAGCATCAACAAAAGCACTCTCATCGACGTCGCAGATGACCCGACGACGGCATACAGGGCACGTCCCATTCTCCCTCAGCCACGACACAATGCAAGCTTTGTGGAATGAATGTGAACATGTGTGAACCAGACGGATTAGCAGTTCACCTTCCTCATATTCCGACAAACACACCACACATTCCTTTTTAGCGTCAGCGCCGCCTTCCCATGTTTCGGACTTCAGCTTGCGAATATCATCTTCCGATAATCTCACGGGACCATCGTCTTCATCCTCATCCTCCTCCTCATCACTATCATCGTCGTCGGCGTCGTCAGCGTCAGGATGAATCATTACAAAATCAACTGAGATGGTACCACCCCATATTTGGACGTGACGAGCCTCATCTCTACTCATGACTCTCTCAGCCAACCGAAAAAAAGAGTATTGACTCATTGGCAGGGAAAATAGTGGCATATTCTCAAACACCTAGCATGCGTAAAAAATGATTTTTATATGAAGTCCTAACCAGATTTATAAGAGTAGTGAATCTATAAGGTTAAAGCCTCATTTCTCAACTGAAGGTTACTTTTTTCTAATTTTACACTCAAAAGGGATAATCCATAATTATCTATTATCCAATTCTGATTAAGATCACTTGAACTATTTCAATTTTAAGTTAATTTACTTATCACATTTAGAAAAACATAATTTTTTATTTTCAAGCTATATGTATGTATTCTTAGATATTTCTCCTTAGTCTCCGCACCTTATCTATGGTGATAGATAGCATGAAATGATTTTTATATGAAGTCCTAACCAAATTTATAAGAGTAGTGAATTTATAAGGTTAAAGCCTTATTTTTCAACTGAAGGTTACTTTTGTCTAATTTTACACTCATAAGG